TCGAGGTTCAACTGTACATCGTCAGTGCAGCTGTGGCGGTATGGATAGATTCGTGCAACTGGCTTATTGCCTATTGCGTTAGGGCGAAATTGCTTTGCAGCTGTCCGTTACCTGCTTGTGCGTGTATTCATTTTCGTGACGAATAATCGATGTTTGTCGGTTTCGGAAGTCGGGCGTGAGAACACAAGTTCACAAGCTTATTTCCCGAAACCGTTTCGGCATAAGGTTGTTCTGATTGGTCACTTTCGCGGGTGCTGATTGGTTAATGTGGTGGGCCGTGGGGTAGTCGGCTGCCAAAGTCTGAATGCACGCGTAGCATGCAACTTTCTCTTAAGCAGTACGCACAATAGCTGGCCCGTGGACCACAGCTTCCTGTATATTTCAATACGATGGCCGGGGTGAGGTCATATGCGCCCTCCTGAATTTCAAAAACGCCTCCCTGTGGGCCCCACCGTGAGAATCACTGATCCAACTGATGTCTTGATAGTAATAGTATTTTTCCTTTACACTTTTTACTATCTCATTTTAAGCAGATACGTAAGCTGTCGGCTACATGTAAGAGCGTACTAATGCACTGTTTGATCATATACTTTATTCTTACTGCTTTTTAGCTTCAAAATATTTTTGACATACTGAACGAGCTTTACGAAACGCAAACGGGTTTATTCTAGTCACCATACTTTTTGGCAACTTTTTCAATCCATTTTTCGTAGGCTGCCACTTTGGTGTAAAATCCAGCTTGATTCTTTTTACCGCATCCTTTGCCGAAACTTATTATTCCAACTTGTATGTACTTCGCTCCATTACGCGTGCAGATCAGCGGCCCTCCAGAGTCGCCCTAAAAAAGGGATGTCTTTTCCATTATGCATACTTTCAATCTGCTTATGTTGCGGTCACTTTGTCAAGCATTGCTTCGTATTAATTACCTGGCAGGAGTCTCTACCGCCCGTCAATGTGCCGGCGCAGAACTGTTTCTCTTTATCGAAGTGTGGCATCCGACAAACTTTGTCATCTAAAATACCGGCAGATACGGCTCTCAGCAGAGGACTGTCCTCGCCATTTTCTGAAGAAAAGCAAACGATTCAATTGACGAAGTCTTTACGAATAGTCACAAACTCTCCGTCGCTCCCCATCCGACCGCGTAGCATTGAACGTTTTCAAGCTTCTTTTTTGGCAAACAAGCATGCTGTATTTTGTCGTTGAACTTAAAGCTTCTTTTTAAAACCACAATTGCTATGTCATTTTGTTGGGTCTTTGGATCGTAATTGTCAGTAACTATTTGTTCAACTTTGACTTCTTCCCTGTAAGGTTCACTGTGCTTGCTCATATCGTGGCCACCAACGACGACGGATACATTGGAAGGAGGGACGGCGTGCTTCCTTTAAGAGTCAACTGTTTTGCATGCGCTCAACGCCTTCTAAAAAGCTTACCCGACTTGGAAGCAATGAGCGGCCGTCAGTACCAAGTTGCTTTTCGTGTCGCTTCTTGGAGATATCAGCGTTCCGCCGCAAGTTCCAGTAAGGGAGCCAACTCGAACTCGTATGTGCACCATCCATGGTTGAGAATGAGGTAGAACAACGCCACCGCCGACAATGCGATTTAGGCTATTGAGATTTGGTGTTACAGCCGGCCGGCCGCATTTTACCGCCTGAAATTTCCAACCACCTTTTAATAGTCCCATTTTGAGCAACTATGCTTCATTGATATTCAAATTTATCTCTTTCCCTTAGCCAATGATTTTATTTCAGCCATTTTAGTCTCCCCTCCTGTTCGTCCAAGTTAGTGCAGAGAGGCGAATGTCAAAAGTGACCATTCTTACCGATACGGTTGTGATGGTGGTCGCGCTAAGCGCCAATGCAATGCAGAGCAACAGTAGAGCCATCGGTTGACGCAAAGCCGCATTCATTGTCTTTATACTACGGACGTATTTGCTCAGCCAATCGACGTAATGTTCGTCTGCTTATCGGCTTTGACTTCCAATATGGGTATGTTCTTTTGGTCGTCCCACTTCAACATGTAAACAATGCAGTAGTACAATAGATAGTTACGAATTGGTATAAGCGGTTGCTTAGTTCAATTGAATAGTTAAATTGCCGTTATTCTTCATTCTTCGACATTTCAGTTGCTTTGGACAAATTTGGTTACGGCGTTGCCGACTGTGGCGTGCTTTTGGTTGGCGAATTGCCAACGACGCGCCTAGTTTTCCCTGCGACGTCTGCTAACCATTTGTACAATGTTGAGTGGTTATTTTGTTTACCCCAAATTTAACCGGCTCAGATGTCTCTCTGCCTCCTTATTGGGTACACATTCAGTTGCTAGAATAAATTGTCCAACTAAGGTCTTACAGGGAAGAAGTATAGCTTTTCTATTGTAACGTCATGCACTTGTTTCACGGAGACGGCTAATAGCGTTCCCATGTGATCACGACTTCCGCCTTCCTTACAAAGTTAGAATAATGAATGCGTAATCGTGACTTATTGTTAAGGGACAACAATTGTCTATTCAAGTTGGGCGAGTTTATAATAGAACGATATGTGCGTTAGTGCGAGTTTCACGAGGCGACAAATTGAAGCATCGCCAATTGGTGCCACGATTTGTTCCACCTAAACGTTGGACGAAAAGAGACACTTTGCATAATCAGTGACTTAGTGATAAGAGAGAAGCTTTCGTGACGTCATCAGTGCTCGGAAAAGCTAACGGCGAAGCTGCAAGTTTTCTTTCAGTCTCTCAACATTGTTCGCTTTTAGTCATTCGCGCCGATCGGGCTCATCTTAAAAAGCCAACGAAACTTAAGCTGCAATTCCAACTCCCATTTTAGTCGATGCTGTCAGACATACTTAGGATTACTAAACTGGGTAAATTCGCTTTGATGGGGAAACTTGTTTACCAGAATTTCTTTCCTTTTAGTGACGTACGCGTCAGCATTAAATCTCATCGTGTTATTTTCATAACTATGACGCGAGCTGATGGTCAACAGTTTAGCTAATGCGCCGTTAGTTTGTTTAAAGAAATGTTGCCTTTGTGACCTGCAAGTTAAAAGAAGTTGAAGTGACCTTTAAACTATTCGTTTGCTCGAGTATCCTATCCATCTTCTAAACGACACAGTCGCATCGCTGATGACGTACGCGCGGGTCGTCTTCATTCTGTTCACGGTGACGTCGTTTGGAGCATTTGCATCTGGAAACAACAAAAGCGTATTGTCATCCAACGATACACGTAGCATTGAGAAGAACTTCAGTGTCAGCGAATTTGAATCGCCCAATTCGAATCATACACCTGCTGGCATGATTCTAGCAACACTAACAACCGTATTTACGTTTCTGGTGATTGCTACAGCAATGATCTCTATATGCTGCTTTAGCAAACGACTTATAATACTGCAACAGAATCAAATGTAGTTTTCCGGCCTTTCGCGTGAATAAATAAATAAATGCGATGGAATTTTTTAATAGCTGACGATTGTTTACAACACCCGAAAGGAGATGAAGACTACAAGTGAAAATGGACCTCGTTAGAAGGCCGTCGAATCGCCGACTACTCGTCGCTTTCTCATTTGAATCATGTCCTGGAAAGGACTGCAGCAGTTGATACTCGCGCTGAAAAAGCAGCCCATTAAAACGACCAAACGAATTGGGGCCTCTTACTCGAGCGCATTTATCCAAGCATTTCTTTCTTCGGCCGACGAAGCGGCCATACGATACGAATTGT